GAGAGGAGAGAGGGAGAAGAGCGAGAGAGGGAGGAGAGAGAGAGAGAGGGAGAGGCGAGGGAGAGAGAAAGGAGAGAGGGAAGAGAGAGAGGGAGGAGAGAGAGAAGAGAGATGGGGAAGAGAGAGGGAGGAGAGATGGGGAAGAGAGAGGGAGGAGAGAGAGGGAGGGGGGAGAGAGGGAGGGATGAGGGATGGAGGAGAGAGAGGGAGGAGGAGAGAGAGGGAGGGAGGAGAGAGAGGGAGGAGGAGAGGATGGGAGGAGAGAGAGGGATGGAGGAGAGAGAGGGGGGGAGGAGAGAGAAAGTACAAAGAGGAGAGAGGGAGGAGAGGGAGGAGAGAGAGGAGAGAGGGAGGAGAGAGGGGAGGAGAGAGAGAGGGAGGGAGGACAGAGAGAGGGTGGACAGCGAGAGGGAGGAGAGAGGAGAAAGAGAGGGAGGAGAGATGAGAGGGAGGAGAGAGAGAGAGGAAGGAAGGAGAGAGAGCGGGAAGAGAGGGAGGGAAGAGAGAGAGCGGGAGGAGAGAGAGAGGGAGAGAGAGCGGGGGGAGAGAGAAAGAGGAGAGAAGAGAGAGGGAGGGAGGAGAGAGAGAGAGAGGAGCGAGAAAGAGAGAGAGAGGAGCGAGAAAGAGAGAGAGAGGAGCGAGAAAGAGAGAGAGAGGAGCGAGAAAGAGAGAGAGAGGAGGGAGAGGACAGAGCGAGAAAGAGAGAGAGAGGAGGGAGAGGACAGAGGGAGGGAGAGAGAAAATGAGGAGAGAGGGGAGCGAGGGAGAGGAGAGAGGGAGAGAGAAGAGAGAGAAGAGAGAGAGGGAGGAGAGAGAGAGGAGAGAGGGAAGAGAGAGAGGGAGGAGAGAGAGAGGGAGGAGAGAGGGAGGAGAGAGAGGGAGGAGAGATGGAGGAGAGAGAGGGAGGGAGGAGAGAGGAATGGAGAGAGGGATGGAGGAGAGAGAAAGTACAGAGAGGAGAGAGGGAGGAGAGAGAGAGGGAGGAGAGAGAGGAGAGAGGGAGGAGAGAGAGGAGAGAGAGAGGGAGGAGAGAGAGAGAGGAGAGAGGGAGGAGAGAGAGGGAGGAGAGAGGGAGGAGAGAGGGAGGAGAGAGGGAGGGAGGAGAGAGAAAGTGTGAGGATTTAGGCTACTTTTTGTCCTACATTATCCTCCCTAATCCAGAAAATGGGACAATCATTTTTTATTTGATTATTTATAATACATAAACATTTTACACCAGGCAACAGATACATATACCAAAATTGCCAAGGATTATATACACAAAGTCAAAAGACTTGTTTCCATTGTGGTCCTCTATTAATGTACCACATACCACCCCATTATGAATGATGAATATGTACCACATACCACCCCATTATGAATGATGAATATGTACCACATACCACCCCATTATGAATGATGAATATGTACCACATACCACCCCATTATGAATGATGAATATGTACCACATACCACCCCATTATGAATGATGAATATGTACCACATACCACCCCATTATGAATGATGAATATGTACCACATACCACCCCATTATGAATGATGAATATGTACCACATACCACCCCATTATGAATGATGAATATGTACCACATACCACCCCATTATGAATGATGAATGTGTACCACATACCACCCCATTATGAATGATGAATGTGAGCCACATACCACCCCATTATGAATGATGAATGTGAGCCACATACCACCCCATTATGAATGATGAATGTGAGCCACATACCAGTGAAATACCTGTAAGTATGCCCTGACTGCAAGAGAAAGATATAAAACAAGAGGAGAGAACTTCAACATAATTTAATCCATTATCACCAATATCCTTTTGACCTGCAGGAGAAGCAATCCACTTCAGAATTGCGTCGTAAATTATTTACTAAAATAATCTGCCGCAAAGAATTACTTATCCACGAATAACTGATTGGAAACTGTAAGTGTGATTTCTGCTAGAGGGGAGAACATGGATATGTGCACCGTTTATAAATGTAAACGATGTGTGTGTCTGTACTCCAAATGCACCTTTCAAACCAGAACTATGATAATTAACTAAAGCAAACTGCATTAAATAACATTCAGCACTCTGTATTAGAATATATTTGCATATCAAAACATAGGTTCATATTTTCCTCATGGGTTATGAACAACATGAGATGACATTTGTTCCAAACATGTTCCATCTCTCTGTTTTACCAATGATCCCAGCCAATCAGCAGAGGGCTGTTTTACCAATGACACCAGCCAATCAGCAGAGGGCTGTTTTACCTAGTGACCCCAGCCAATCAGCAGAGGGCTGTTTTACCTAGTGACCCCAGCCAATCAGCAGAGGGCTGTTTTACCTAGTGCCCCCAGCCAATCAGCAGAGGGCTGTTTTACCTAGTGACCCCAGCCATTCAGCAGAGGAGAGAGTCGGTCTGTCCGTCTGTATTTTCTGTCTGTGTGAATCACAAACACCTAGGACAGTATAATTGTGAAATGGCCGCCAGTCTACACATTATGCCATCATTGACTTGAATAGGGACGCCCGTTCTATTCATTTTATTTATATGGCAGCACATGCATTCAGGAGCGAAGGAGAGGAGAAAATGTGCATCAAAATTAAATTAAATGTTGAACGGTTATTACGGAGACCGTGATCATTTGGCTGGCTAATTACTATCATCCAAAATGCCCTGATCGTCAGAACCCTAGCGACACCTTACATAGGAAGAAGTTCCTCCCTTAGCTACAAACCTACAACTCAGGAAGCTGTTCCTTCCCTAGCTACAAACCTACAACTCAGGAAACTGTTCCTTCCTTAGCTACAAACCTACTACTCAGGAAGCTGTTCCTTCCCTAGCTACAAACCTACAACTCAGGAAGCTGTTCCTTCCCTAGCTACAAACCTACAACTCAGGAAGCTGTTCCTTCCCTAGCTACAAACCTACAACTCAGGAAGCTGTTCCTTCCCTTAGCTACAAACCTACAACTCAGGAAGCTGTTACTTCCCTAGCTACAAACCTACAAACCCAGGAAACTGTTACTTCCCTAGCTACAAACCTACAAACCCAGGAAACTGTTACTTCCCTAGCTACAAACCTACAACTCAGGAAGCTGTTCCTTCCCTAGCTACAAACCTACAAACCCAGGAAACTGTTACTTCCCTAGCTACAAACCTACAAACCCAGGAAACTGTTCCTTCCCTAGCTACAAACCTACAACTCAGGAAGCTGTTACTTCCCTAGCTACAAACCTACAAACCCAGGAAGCTGTTACTTCCCTAGCTACAAACCTACTACTCAGGAAGCTGTTCCTTCCCTTAGCTACAAACCTACAACTCAGGAAGCTGTTCCTTCCCTTAGCTACAAACCTACAACTCAGGAAGCTGTTCCTTCCCTTAGCTACAAACCTACAACTCAGGAAGCTGTTCCTTCCCTTAGCTACAAACCTACAACTCAGGAAGCTGTTCCTTCCCTAGCTACAAACCTACAACTCAGGAAGCTGTTCCTTCCCTTAGCTACAAACCTACAACTCAGGAAGCTGTTCCTTCCCTAGGTACAAACCTACAACTCAGGAAGCTGTTCCTTCCCTTAGCTACAAACCTACAACTCAGGAAGCTGTTCCTTCCCTAGCTACAAACCTACAACTCAGGAAGCTGTTCCTTCCCTAGCTACAAACCTACAACTCAGGAAGCTGTTCCTTCCCTAGCTACAAACCTACAACTCAGGAATCTGTTCCTTCCCTAGCTACAAACCTACAACTCAGGAAGCTGTTCCTTCCCTAGCTACAAACCTACTACTCAGGAAGCTGTTCCTTCCCTAGCTACAAACCTACTACTCAGGAAGCTGTTCCTTCCCTAGCTACAAACCTACAACTCAGGAATCTGTTCCTTCCCTAGCTACAAACCTACAACTCAGGAAGCTGTTACTTCCCTAGCTACAAACCTACAACTCAGGAATCTGTTCCTTCCCTAGCTACAAACCTACAACTCAGGAAGCTGTTACTTCCCTAGCTACAAACCTACAACCCAGGAATCTGTTCCTTCCCTAGCTACAAACCTACAAACCCAGGAAACTGTTACTTCCCTAGCTACAAACCTACAACCCAGGAATCTGTTCCTTCCCTAGCTACAAACCTACAACTCAAGAAGCTGTTCCTTCCCTTAGCTACAAACCTACAACTCAGGAAGCTGTTCCTTCCCTAGCTACAAACCTACAACTCAGGAAGCTGTTCCTTCCCTAGCTACAAACCTACAACTCAGGAAGCTGTTCCTTCCCTAGCTACAAACCTACAACTCAGGAAGCTGTTCCTTCCCTAGCTACAAACCTACAACTCAGGACGCTGTTCCTTCCCTAGCTACAAACCTACAACTCAGGAAGCTGTTCCTTCCCTTAGCTACAAACCTACAACTCAGGAAGCTGTTCCTTCCCTAGCTACAAAGGAGGGAGGGTCCAGGTAATTTACTAACATCCTCATAGCGATCATATGACTAGTTCACACAGCAGTCTTGACAGTCCACCTTGGTTTCCAACCATCACACCCAACAACACTGTCCACATGACTAACAGTCAGTCAGGTAGCACCGCCTCAACTTCAAAAACGTTTTCTCCTGTTTGCACCATAAACGTTGAGGGGACCAATAGATAGAGCAGACTATAACGTTGGGCACTATGTAGGCAGCCATTAACATTTAGGGTGCCATTTGACATGTGCCCAGTGTGTCTTGTGGTGGTGGATGTATGGTGTGTAGTCTGACAGGGACACACTGGACCCTCCACTAGGTCAATACACCAATAGGCAACTATAAAGATGCTATCTAGAACATAAAAGGATTCTTCAAATATCCCCATAGGAGAACCCCTTTTTGGTTCCTGGTAGAACCCTTTCCATAGAGGGTTCAACTTGGAACCAAAAAGCATTCTCCTATGGGGACAGTTGAATAACCCCTTTTTTCTAAGAGTAGTGTGCTACATTTATAGGGAACGATAAAGTAGTGCACTAGATCTGGTTAGTGTACACTACCTGTTATTGAAGGTGTGCAGACCGGCTGGGACACACTGGACTCTCCACTGTCCGTTCTGGTCAAGGTAGAGGACAAACTTAATGGAGGTGTCCACGCCCAGCTCTTTCTCCAGGGAAAACAGGTGCTCCTTCCAGGGGCAACCACCCTGAGGGAACACCACTACCTCACCACTGGGGTCCACCTGGATGGACACAATCAATCAATCAATCACATTTATTCATGAAGTCCTTTTTACATCAGCAGTGGTCACAAAGTGCTTTTTGCAGACTCAAACACTGCATCGACACCTTTTGGTGACACACACACAAGCACCCAAACACCGCATCAATACCTACAATATGGTGACATTTAATAGCATCTCACGCAAACACTTTGCATTAATATCTGTAGTGTTACCACACTTAAACCGGTGCATTAACGCTGTAACTACATGTGTAACATACATGTCATTTATTTTAAAACAGACAAAGTACTTCTGGGGAGAACCAACATGACAGATGGTGTCATCAGAACAGCGCCCCCTGCAAGCTGAACAGCTACTCTTGCGAGCTCGGTACAGAGTGTATGAACAAGGCGACAAGGCCAGTAAACTCCTTGCACATCAGATCCGTAAATCTGAGGCCTCACGTTTAATCCCACAAATAAGGACCCCGTCTGGTGCCACCACAGTTATACATAAAGAGATCAATGATCAATTCAAACAATTTTATTCTGCGCTATACACCTCTGAATCCCCTCAAGACCCTTTGCTGATTGATTCCTTCTTTAATGGCCTGAATATGCCTTCAATTGATACAGACACCCATGACTATCTAGAAGAAGAATTTACACCTGAGGAGATTGCAACAGCAGTGTCCGCAATGAAAAGCGGTAAATCACCGGGTCCGGATGGTTTTCCAACCGAATTTTACAGGACGTTTTCTGGTCTGCTTTGCCCATTCTTGTTTCGACTATTTGCAGAGTGCCTTAATACCTCAAAGCTACCGCCTAGTCTTTATCAAGCTTCAATTTCATTACTATTAAAGAAAAACAAAGACCCTCTGGAATGTGGATCCTTTCGCCCAATCTCGCTTTTAAACTGTGATTACAAAATCCTAGCCAAGCTTTTAGCCATCCGTATGGAAGGCTCGCTGCATCAAGTAATACACTCTGACCAGACTGGCTTTGTGAGAAATAGGCATTTGTTTTTCAATATTAGGCGCCTTATGAATATACTGTACTCCCCTGCGTCGGAGGACCCAGAGGTGGTGGTCTCACTTGATGCAGAAAAAGCGTTTGACCGCGTTGAGTGGGATTACCTAACAGCCACCCTTTATAGATTTGGCTTTGGCCCCAAATTCATTGCGTGGATAAAGATTCTTTATTTTTCCCCCATGGCTTCGGTACGGACTAACAACTTGTCCTCTGACTATTTTCCCTTGCACCGCGGATCCAGACAGGGCTGTCCACTCTCCCCCTTGTTGTTTGCTTTGGCAATCGAACCTCTCGCCATTGCATTACGCTCTAATGATGCCATTCAAGGAATAATCCGGACGGGCTCAGAGCAGAAAGTCTCGCTATATGCGGATGACCTCCTTTTGTTTATCTCTAACCCTGATACCTCATTGCCACGCGCCTTATCTGTTCTTAAAAAGTTTGGATCAATCTCAGGGTACAAGCTGAATCTAGGCAAGAGTGAGCTTTTTCCTGTAAACAAGGCTGCTTTAAAGTGCTCTTTTACAAGCTCTCAGTTTAGGATTGTCCGGGATCAATTCACCTACTTGGGAGTCAAAGTGACAAGGAAATATTCAAATCTGTTTCAGGAAAACTTGGTTGCTCTAGCAGACAGTTTGAAACAATCTTTTGCTTTTTGGAAAGCGCTACCTCTTTCTCTTATCGGAAGGATTAATGTCATTAAAATGAGTGTGTTGCCCAAATTTCTATATTTATTTCAATGTCTACCCATTTTTATTCCAAAATCTTTTTTTATTTCACTGGATCAAACATTCATGCATTTTATTTGGGATGGCAAGGTACCACGGATTGGTAGAAAACATTTACAGAAGCCTAAGTCATTGGGGGGTTTAGCTCTACCAAATTTTCAGACATACTATTGGGCTGCAAATTTCAGAGCCCTTCTGTACTGGCTGCAGACTGATCCTACTGGCCCTAGACCAATCTGGGTCCAGATGGAGTCTGAATCGTGTAAACCTGCTGCACTTTCTTCTATGTTGTGCTCGTCTCTCCCAGTGTCCCTTGGCAAAAGGTGTGTCAACCCAATTGTAAAGCAGTCTCTTAAAATTTGGAATCAGTTCCGCTTAGCCTTTGGCCTCCGAGGCTTTTCTCTATCAGGCCCAATCAATCAGAACATTTTATTTCCTCCATCTTTGAATGATGGGGCTTTTGACATCTGGCACTCACTAGGCCTCTCCTCACTAGCCCAATTATTCTTTGATGATACATTTGCCTCTTTTGCTCAGCTACAGGAAAGGTTCAACCTCCCCCAATCCCACTTTTTCCGCTATCTCCAGACTAGGAACTTTGTCAGAGCTAACACACCTGAATTTCCCCATAGGCCTGTGAATACAGCTATAGAGAGCATCCTGGAGCTGAACAAGCTTCCTAGGGGCGCAATTTCAGATGTATATGCAATCATTCATGACTTACAGAACCCTTCTTTGGTGCCTTTAAAGACTCGATGGGAAAAGGATTTGGGGGAGGAACTTGGGGAAGACACCTGGGAATCTGTGCTGCGCAGGGTGCATTCGTCCTCTTTTAGCACTAGACACAGCCTCATTCAATTCAAGGTGGTTCACCGTATCCACTGGTCTGGGGCCAGACTTGGAAGAATATTCTCTGATTTTGATCCTACCTGTGTCAGATGTAAAATTGAACCGGCCACACTGTTGCATATGTTCTGGGGCTGTCATAAACTGTCAGGTTTCTGGGAATTAATATTTAAATGTTTCTCTGATATATATAACACTGTTATAGATCCCTCTCCCCTTACAGCCCTTTTTGGAGTACTGCCCATAAGCACCCCCCTGTCAAGAATCCAGTCGGACACTGTTGCTTATACAACTCTTTTAGCTAGACGGCTAATACTACAGAACTGGAAGATGGCAGCTCCCCCATCTTATAAATATTGGGTGAGAGATGTGTTGTGCTCTCTGAAACTAGAAAAAATTAAATTAAATTCACGTGGGAACCCCAAACTGTTTAATGAGGCTTGGGCTCCATTCCGGTCTTACTTTAAACAGTCCATCCTCTGATAGCATTCCTATTAAAACCAAAATAAGTCTGTATTTGACCTCCCTGTGACTTAGGGGTTGGATGAGCATTTCTCTGTGTTTTTTTTCTGGGGTGGGGGTGGGGGGCATTAAGGTTGATGTCCTTATTGATTGTGACCTGCGGATGCCCTGTTCATCTCGCCCGGGCAGAGACTAAGGTGTGAGCTTGTTTTTCCCAGTTATTTTAATTTTTTTAATTCTGTTCACGCCTACATAAAATTATCAATATTCATTTTTTATTTTTAAAGCATTGTAACTTTTTATTTTTGGTCCAGTGGATGATTGGTCTGTGGCCTTGACTGTCTGTGAGTGGTTGCATTTCTCCACCCCATCCCTTAACTGTTTACAGGAACAATGGTGAGGTATTTGCTCTGTCCCTATACTATAGATTGCCCTTTAACCTTTTGTAGCCTTCTGCCTGGTGTGTTTAACTTGTCTAAAGTATGGTATCTTTAAAGTTATTTTTTTAATTTTTTTATATGTATTATTTGTATTTTTGTCTAGTTGAGTATATTATTTATATTGCTTTGTCTTGTCTGTGTGTGTGTAAAACTTAATAAACAGAGTTCTCAAAAAAAAAAAAAAGAACAGCGCCCCCTGTCCGCTACCTAATGAAAGTGAATATCTGCATGTCTGTGGTAGGGACTGTACCTGGTTCCTCATCTGTACAGCTTCCTCCACCACCACACGGGCAGGAAGCCAGGAGTTCTGGTAGAAGTCAACCCGGTCCAGGAACTCTGCTCCTACCATGGCCAGGGCCTTGTGGAAGCCCTCCTAACACACACAACATGAGGAGACAACATGAGGAGACAACAACAGGAGGAGGAGCCAACAACAGGAGGAGGAGCAAACAACAGGAGGAGGAGCCAACAGGAGGAGGAGCCAACGGGAGGAGGAGCCAACAGGACATGAGACAGGAGATATCAGGAGACAGAAGGTGACAACAGGAGATATCAGCAGTCTTGCAGCACATGCTGGGATAGCGCTACAGCTGCTGAAGTAGATACAGGTAACAATCATTTTTCTACAAGGAAAACTAAAGGCCACTAACAGACAGACACTCATTTATATTCAACTTTTAATACGTTTTCATATTTCCAAACGAGATCTTGAATAGGAAAAAAATTAAGAAATCCTTTTTGGAAAACCACAATTGTACTGTTAAAAATCCTTTCAGTTGATGTGAACAGTCACCTTTCCTCTCCAGTCGAAGCTGATTCAGACAGACAAGTTTAATACTCAGCCTCGGATGATCCATTAGGGAGCAATGGCAGAATGAAGTCTCTCTGAGCACTCCCGAGTCAGTCAGTCCCTGTCAGTCCCTGTCAGTCGGTCAATCTCACTCTCTCAGTCTCACTCTCTGTCTCACTCTCTCAGTCAGTCTGAGTCTCTCTCTGTTAGTCTCTCAGTCAGTCTCTCTCCGTCAGTCAGTCTCACTCTGTCAGTCAGTCAGTCAGTCAGTCTCACTCTGTCAGTCTCAGTCTCCCAGTCAGTCAGTCAGTCTCCCAGTCAGTCAGTCAGTCTCCCAGTCAGTCAGTCAGTCTCTCTGTCAGTCAGTCAGTCTCTCTCTGTTGGTCTCTGTCAGTCAGTCAGTCTCACTCAATCTCTCTCAGTCAGTCTCTCTGTCAGTCTTAGTCAGTCTCTCTCTCAGTCTCACTCAGTCAGTCTGAGTCTCTCCCTCTCGGTCAGTCTCAGTCAGTCAGTTTCAGTGTCTCTGTCAGTCAGTCTCAGTTTCTCACAGACTGTTCTCACACACACACACACTACTGCTCCCAGTTACAGCACTGATGTGCATGTACGCACACGCTAGCGCAAACATAATGAAGCACACACACACACACACACACGCTCTCACACACAAATGTTCACAAACTCCACCCACACAGCACTGTAATCTCCTGGCATCTAGCTGAGCGTGCGTGTGGTGTGTGAGTGAGTGAGCGCGTGGCAGCTGAGAGTTGGGACAGACAGGACGAGAAGTGCAGGAGGAAAAATCCATGACATTTTTTTCCCAATCAAAAAGTGACAGGGTGACAATTGACTGGATCAGGAAGTCACAGGGTCGTGGTGTAGCGCAGCCAGTCACAATCCACCGTGCCTTTCCAGGGTATAATAAACCAATAGAATCAACGACCAGCCGCTCTCCAGGAGAAGTAAGTGCTGCTGGTCTAAGACAGGTGTGGAAAATGGAGGAAGAAGGCAGTTTTTTCCCCTGCCCTCCCCACCTGAGCCAGATGATAAATCACACAGAGGTGTTTGACCTACTTGTCCAATCGGTGTACAGAGTTTAAAGGGCGACTGCACTTCCTGATTTGGCCTCATTTTAGATTTGGTTCATTAAGAAATGCTAGTGGCCATGACTGAATTCAAATGTGAGTTGGTTTCTGGGTGTGGTTTCATGTGGGTGTTTGCAGGTGGGAAGAGTTAGACAAATTATTTTGCCAATTAGCTTCAGCTGGCTGGTGTGTAACCGTGGCAAAATTGGTTTGACTTTGGATAGCCTATCTCCAGGGCTAGTTGGGGACCGTCAATAAATTACACAATGTAAATGAGAACATTTTCATGTTGCACACTTTTTAGTTCTCATTCAAATGTTTTCAGTAATTGTATATGAATTTCTACAATTTATAGTTGGTTTGAGGTTAAGGTCATTGTAATTTTAAGCTATTGGAATTTTTACATATTGTCCCATGCACATTGTCTAATTTACAGATGGCGCCTGACTAGCCCCATAGAGATATCCAAAGTCAACCCAAATTTACCACAGGCATTACGATTGGGTCACGTCCAGCTGCACTCCGAATTGATGATTACTTGTGTGCTGCCAGTTGTGGGCATTTGAACAGCATTGTAACAAACCCAACCTTCACTTACATTGTGATTCAGTCACGACCACAAGTCTCACAAGACTCCATTTTGGACGAGACTGACTTTTTTACCAAAATTATCATATTTACCCTTTGTAGTCAATTTGGACAGTATAATACATGTTTCTGACATATCAATGCCACATAGGCTGTTTCTAAATGAGAAGTTGGTTTTTAGGGGCATTGCTCTTTAATGGTTCAACATCCTCCTGTAGATGCTAAACGCTTGCCTTACTCACAGGCCCTGTGTGTGTGTGTGTGTGTGTGTGGGGGGGGGGTATACCGAGCAGGTCCGTTGTCCCTGTTGGATTCAGACGTATCGACTCAGGAAGAAGAGATTCATTCAACCAGACATCCTGGTAGGGCCTTAGAGTTATTCAGAAACACTGGCAGAGCTAAAATCTCTCCTTCTCGGAGCTGCTTTTGGTGCTGTTTTGACACCACAACAGTGCTAACGTTGGCCTATATTAATAGGCATATATGCAGACACACACAGCTGTAGTAACTGAAGGCTGGTCTCCAGCCCTTCGATAGGTGATGTTTCTACACACTGACTAACCTCTGTGTCCTGGCTCTTGCTGTTCCAGCGTGGGTTAAGGTGTCCGACGCGGGCGCTGAGCATGGTAGACACAGCGTAGCGAGCCTCTCCATCATACTGGGAGATCCCGTTGTCCACAGCATCCACCTCCTCCACCAAGTTCTCATACAGCTTCAGAGACAGAACAGAGAACGTTACATCCACCAAGTTCTCATACAGCTACAGAGACAGAACAGAGAACGTTACATCCACCAAGTTCTCATACAGCTACAGAGAACGTTACATCCACCAAGTTCTCATACAGCTTCAGAGACAGAACAGAGAACGTTACATCCACCAAGTTCTCATACAGCTACAGAGACAGAACAGAGAACGTTACATCCACCAAGTTCTCATACAGCTACAGAGCCAGAACAGAGAACGTTACATCCACCGAGTTCTCATACAGCTACAGAGACAGAACAGAGAACGTTACATCCACCAAGTTCTCATACAGCTACAGAGACAGAACAGAGAACGTTACATCCACCAAGTTCTCATACAGCTACAGAGAACGTTACATCCACCAAGTTCTCATACAGCTACAGAGACAGAACAGAGAACGTTACATCCACCAAGTTCTCATACAGCTACAGAGACAGAACAGAGAACGTTACATCCACCAAGTTCTCATACAGCTACAGAGACAGAACAGAGAACGTTACATCCACCAAGTTCTCATACAGCTACAGAGACAGAACAGAGAACGTTACATCCACCAAGTTCTCATACAGCTACAGAGAACGTTACATCCACCAAGTTCTCATACAGCTTCAGAGACAGAACAGAGAACGTTACATCCACCAAGTTCTCATACAGCTACAGAGACAGAACAGAGAACGTTACATCCACCAAGTTCTCATACAGCTACAGAGCCAGAACAGAGAACGTTACATCCACCGAGTTCTCATACAGCTACAGAGACAGAACAGAGAACGTTACATCCACCAAGTTCTCATACAGCTACAGAGACAGAACAGAGAACGTTACATCCACCAAGTTCTCATACAGCTACATAGAACGTTACATCCACCAAGTTCTCATACAGCTACAGAGACAGAACAGAGAACGTTACATCCACCAAGTTCTCATACAGCTACAGAGACAGAACAGAGAACGTTACATCCACCAAGTTCTCATACAGCTACAGAGACAGAACAGAGAACGTTACATCCACCAAGTTCTCATACAGCTACAGAAACAGAACATGGCAGAGAGGTTATCAGTAGGGCAGGAGGTTTCCCCCCCCCCCCCCCCCCCCACCTCACCTTATCATAGAGCACCTCCAGCTGTCGGTCTCCTTCCTTTAGGGAGGTGAGCTGAGCCAGGACCCTCCGGCCAAAATGCAGGTAGACCAAACCAGCCGAGCTCAACTTGGTCACCCAGGGCTTCTCTGGACACAGGCTGTGGAACGTCTCAGAGAAAGTCCTGCATAACCAGAGAGCAGCACACAAAAATATGTTACGTCTCCATCTTGTAGAAACCTCCCCTTCCCCTGCATAATCTACAGCCTCTATGATTATGCTAATCCCCTGTGTTCATGGTCCATCAGATATGTGGCTACAGGCTGCTGAATGTGCCCCTAAACGTCCTGGACAGACAGCAGCACACCAACCCATCACTCACTCTGTCTTATTCAAATTCTAAAGCTTTATTGTCCCTGAAGGTTCTGGACAGACAGCAGCACACCCATCATACTTATCTAAACTCTAAAAGCTTTATTGTCCATCAACTTTATATAAGAAAGAAAAGCGTTAATTTGGCTTGAGGCTAGTCTCCTCCACCCCAGCCGTTCTTGGTTTCATCAGAATAAGAGCAGGGTGTGACGTCTGTCTTCTAAAGACTATCTGGAGGATAAGTGCAGGGTGTGACGTCTGTCTTCTAAATACTAGCTGGAGGATAAGAGCAGGGTGGGACATCTGTCGTCTAAAGATTATCTGGAGGATAAGTGCAGGGTGTGACGTCTGTCTTCTAAATACTAGCTGGAGGATAAGAGCAGGGTGGGACATCTGTCTTCTAAAGATTATCTGGAGGATAAGTGCAGGGTGTGACGTCTGTCTTCTAAATACTAGCTGGAGGATAAGAGCAGGGTGGGACATCTGTCGTCTAAAGATTATCTGGAGGATAAGTGCAGGGTGTGACGTCTGTCTTCTAAATACTAGCTGGAGGATAAGAGCAGGGTGGGACATCTGTCTTCTAAAGATTATCTGGAGGATAAGTGCAGGGTGTGACGTCTGTCTTCTAAAGACTATCTGGAGGATAAGTGCAGGGTGTGACGTATGTCTTCTAAAGACTATCTGGAGGATAAGAGCAGGGTGGGACGTCTGTCTTCTAAAGACTATCTGGAGGATAAGAGCCGGGTGTGACGGCTGTCTTCTAAAGACTATCTGGAGGATAAGTGCAGGGTGTGACGTCTGTCTTGTAAGACTATCTGGAGGATAAGAGCAGGGTGTGACATCTGTCTTCTAAAGACTATCTGGAGGATAAGAGCCGGGTGTGACGTATGTCTTCTAAAGATTAGTTGGAGGATAAGAGCAGGGTGTGACGTCTGTCTTCTAAAGACTATCTGGAGGATAAGAGCAGGGTGTGACGTCTGTCTTGTAAGATTATCTGGAGGATACGTGCAGGGTGGGACGTCTATCTTCTAAAGACTATCTGGAGGATAAGTGCAGGGTGGGACGTCTGTCTTCTAAAGACTATCTGGAGGATAAGTGCAGGGTGTGACGTCTGTCTTGTAAGACTATCTGGAGGATAAGAGCAGGGTGTGACGTCTGTCTTGTAAGACTATCTGGAGGATAAGTGCAGGGTGGGACGTCTATCTTCTAAAGACTATCTGGAGGATAAGTGCAGGGTGGGACGTCTGTCTTCTAATGACTATCTGGAGGATAAGTGCAGGGTGGGACGTCTGTCTTCTAATGACTATCTGGAGGATAAGTGCAGGGTGGGACGTATGTCTTCTAAAGACTATCTGGAGGATAAGTGCAGGGTGTGACGTCTGTCTTCTAAAGACTATCTGGAGGATAAGTGCAGGGTGGGATCTATACAGACTGATTAGAACAGGAACATTGCAACAGAACACACAAATGAAATCCAACAGAACAGTCCCTGCCTGGGAATCTGAATGTCTGTGGCTGGCTACCTTCAGCAAGACAGCGCTTAGTGCAAATGAAAACACATTTCAGTCAAAATTCAAAACACTTGAAAATAAATGAACACTCCTTGTCTTTCAGTGAGATGTCTCTACACAAGTGCTGCCTTTCATTTTTAGTAGGCCAGTTGATAATGTCAATCAACTCCACCCAGGGAGGTGTCTACTGAGCGCGTGAGGAGATAAGTGCTTCACAGCAGGGGAGCCAGCAGTGGTCATTTAATTCCGGCTTAATTGAGACACTAGGGTTGCGTGTTAAATGGCACCCTATTCCCTACATAGTGCACTTATTTTGACCAGAGCCCTATGTGCCTCGGTCTAAAGTAGTGTACTATATAGGGAATCGGGTGCCATTTGGGACGTAACTCACTTCTAGCACAGCACCGCTGCCTGCTGAGCACCGAACGTCAGATAAGTGAGCGGCATGCTGTGTGGCACATGGTCGATAGCTAGCTAATTGACCTAGCAACAGAATCCCTGCATAAATTATACAGAGATGGCAGTTACATTTTTTTTACATTTTTAGTCATTTAGCAGACGCTCTTATCCAGAGCGACTTACAGGAGCAATTAGGGTTAAGTGCCTTGCTCAAGGGCACATCGACAGTTTTTCACCTAGTCGGCTCGGGGATTAGAACCAGCGACCTTTCGGGTACTGGCATAACGCTCTTAACCACTAAGCTACCTGCCGCCCAAATAAGGGAACAAAGAGAAGAAGGATGAAAAATGGGACACAGTGGACCAATCAGCCGTCTGTCAGTCTGTCACACGTTTCTATCCGAATGTTCCGGAATCTTGTGACCTACCGTTCCGGAATCTTGTGACCTACTGAACGTAACAGAGTTGTATGGTGTTCTGCGTTTGCCATGTTGTTGCCATAAACCCATCACTATCCCCACCCCTTTCCTTATACCCTCTGCCTAAAACTGGTCTAGTTTGATTTGATTGGTGCCAGGGGGCCTGGGTGTTTCTATGCGGGCTAGGGATGGGATGGGGGGGTGGGGCAAATCGATACAGTAGAGTATCGCAATATTATTGACGATATTATATTGATTCTTTTAAACCGTTTTTTTATTTATTTTTGCTAGGTAGTGAACATTAGCTAGCGCCACCTGAGATAGCAGCTAGACATAATGACGGGAGGGAGGGAGAATGGAGAAGCTTAATTATCTCTCCTACCTGCTGGGGGGAAAGACCTCTGGCATTTCCATACCAATCATTAGACAGACAGGCAGATTAAGCCTTATAAAAAATACATGATTTCGCTCTTATTTCAAAATGTGTTTATGCACAATGCAATAGACCTAGAACAGACACTTGCCAAAAGTAAATGTATGCTATGTCAGTGTACCTTATATAAATCCACATCTCTGCAATCATGGGCTCTAAGACTACAGCTTGTGGTTGGTGTCAGTATGTTATCCTGTAGAGGCGAAGGTCGAGTCATGCGTCCTCTGCCCCCAATGTGTCGGAGGAAACACTGTTCAACTGACGACTGAAGTCAGCCTGCAGGCGCCCGGCCCGCCACAAGGAGTCGCTAGAGCGTGATGAGCCAAGTAAAGCCCCCCTCGTCCAAACCCTCATAACGCTGGGCCAATTGTGCGCCGCCCTATGGGACCTCGGTCACGGCCGGTTGTGACACAGCCTGGGATCAAACCCGGGTCTGCAGTGATGCCTCAAGCACTGCGATGCAATGCCTTAGCCCGCCGCGCCACTCGGGAGGCCTTATATGTTATTTTCAAAGGTAGACTGGCTCTGGCAGCTAAAACAGCCAAATACTCCATCTAAACCTGCATCAATTCTCAATTGCGAAACAGTTCTGGAAACATAAAGCCCGTTACTTTCATATCACATCAAACTAATTTCAAATGCAAAATACAAACTTACTGTACACTGTTTTAACCAGCTTTATCACAATTGCACATTTCTGGCGACCTTCTTCCGTTACACACAGGTGTTTGGAGCATTCTAGATAGAGGGACCACTTGTGCTAATTAACTGTCTTCCGCAAACACGCGCCGTAACATGGAGATATGGCCATGTGGGAACACTAACCCTATAAAAGGTGTGTATCATTTTAACGTTTAGTTTTTTAAAAATAATTTCTCGCTGATATGAAAGATAAGGTCCTTATGCTTCCAAAACTGTACCACAAGCGATGCGTGTTACTGTTCATACCGAGCGCCGGGGCTCTTAACAAAACTCCCCCGTAAAGAAGACGCCTTCGTCCAATGACTTGTGTGTAATGTAATGGAACTGAGAGTCATGATCAAGGACTAGGTATACTGTACCGGTATATTCTAAAATCTTTGACTGTACCTCTGATGATGGTCATAGAGATGCTTCTTGGGGTCAAACTCTCCGCCCACATCCACCACGATGTCACACTTGGCGAGCTCGGCAGGGTCCCGAGTTCTGACTATCTCAGCATCCTGAGAAGAAAAAAAAATGAAATGCAGCAGAAATTACTAAAATATCAATATCAAGACGAATGTCCAAGATATTGGATCATCTCTGAAGCTGGAGACTTATCTCCCTCACTAACTTTAAGCGTCAGTTCTCAGAGCAGCTTACCGATCACTGCACCTGTACACAGCCCATCTGTAATTAGCCCACCCAACTACCTCATCCCCAGATTGTTATTTATTTTGCTCATTTGCACCCCAGTATCTCTATTTGCACATCATCTTCTGCACATCTATCACTCCAGTGTTAATACTAAATTGTAATTATTTTGCACTATGGCCTATTTATTACCTTAACTCCATAACTTACTACATTTGCACACACTGTATATATATTTTCTGTTGTATTTTTGACTGTAGTTTATGTTTACATTTTAGTCATTTAGCAGACGCTCTTATCCAGAGCGATTTACAGTTATGTTAATCCCATGTGTAACTCTGTGTTGTTGTTTTATCGCACTGCTTTGCTTTATCTTGGCCAGGTCGCAGTTGTAAATGAAAACTTGTTCTCAACTGGCCTACCTGGTTAAATGAAGGTGAAAAAATAAAATAAAAATATAAGGAGCTGTGGAATCATTTTAGCTGAGCTTGCCTGGTGAACCGGCTGGGGGAAGCTAAAAGGAATGCACCCAAGAATGATTAAGTGTCTTATCTTAGAGAGAGAGGACCATGTGGTTTAATGAAATTCAATCTGATTGAGCGTTATACAATGCTGAGCCGGGTGAGTTTACGCCACAAGTACAGTCGCTAGTAGTTAGCTGGCATTAGAACATATTAGCTATCTAGCGAACTCTTGTCTTTGCCGGGGTGTAAGAAACATTCATCATGCATTAATATTAACCATCTAGTTACCTTCAAAATCGAAAAAATAAATGTTATGCACCTTGTACTCCGGGAGCTGGTGAAGGAAGAAACAGGCTAGCACTTCATCACAATGAAATGTCCCGTTATGGGTGCCGATTCTTTTAGCAGACATGTTTTCTGTGCAGAGTCGCTTGGGTTGGTGTGACATGTATCTTCGTATTGCAACTGGTATACTGTCCCTAACTGGTATATTTCTATAAACACTAGTAAACACTGAAGTTCGGATAGTGAATTTCAACAGGTTCGGCGCTAACATGAAGTTAGCGGCTACACACGCTGCTGATGATGATGAGACGGACTGCAATTTCAGACGGACTGAAGACGTGCCGGATATGGCGTAGCTCTTCTTCTTCTTCTTCTTTGGCGTTTAACGGTGGTTGGCATCTAATATGTTGCATTACCGTCCCCAACTGGACTATAATATAAATTTACATTTAAGTCATTTAGCAGACGCTCTTATCCAGAGCGACTTAAATCCATTGAACTTTGTGATAAATGATGGGAAAAGGGTAAAACTCTAAAAAAAAAATAACAACACCCTTCCAACTAACCCTACACTCATTAAAAACCCACTACCCAGTTCCACTACTTTGACCCTATCTGCTCCTGCACAATGCCAAGGGCCTGGGAGGACGTGACACCACCACTCAACACACCCTGTAACTCTTCTGAAGTCAAATCTCGTATACCCAAATACTTCTCTGCAGCTGCCACCACAACATCTATTTTCTGTGATTTACATTCTATTTCTGTGGTACAGTTGATAACCATCGCTATGAACGCTAAGAAGCCAACCTTACTGAAGCATATATCACCTATCCCTCTGTGCTGGCACAGATCTACTACCTACAGCGATCCTCTCAGGATCCCTCACCCTTGACCCATCCTCCTCTACTTTCTTCACTGCCTCAGCATACGACACCTTCTGCACTACTCTGACTCTAGCCACCTCAACCTGCCTCTCTCGCACTGGACACTTCCGATCCCCAGCAACATGGGCACCCTTACAGTTAACACACACATATTTATCCACCGAAACTACACAATCCTCTATCCCATGCCCCCTCCTGCACACTTCCCACATCTTGGAATCTCCGTCTTACACACTGCTGCAACATGACGATAAGCGTTGCACCTGAAACAGCGCAGTTTACTCTGCACAAAGCTCTAACAGGATAACTGATATCATAAAATGACTTTGTCTGGTAGAGTCTCTGACTCAAAAGGACTGACAGTGACTCTTCTGTTTCAACACGCTCACCACCGGGTCTGCGTCGCACCAAACAGCAGACATCACAAACACCAGGAATCTTCAACTGCTCCACCTCCACACTTAACGCTACCCCAGAAATCACTCCTTTCATATTTTTTTTTTTTTACATTTTAGTCATTTAGCAGATGCTCTTATCCAGAGCAACTTACAGGAGCAATTAGGGTTAAGTGCCTTGCTTAAGGGCACATCGACAGATTTTTCACCTAGTCGGCTCGGAGATTAGAACCAGCGACCTTTTGGTTACTGGCACAACGCTCTTAACCACTAAGCTACCTGCCGCCATATGACACATCTAAGCATCCGGTTTGGGTTTTGTCCTGTTTCTGCAATACGTCATAGTTTATATATATATATATATAACTTTTTTTTTAAGTTCCACTAAATTAACTGAAATTCTTATGTTTTTTATTTTGGACTTCATTCAGCCAACTGCAGTCATTCAGTTGGGACAGAGTTGTTTCATCTGCGCTCAAAAACTGCAGAATGGGTTGCTCCTCTTATCTATCATAGGCTACTCTGATGATTTCCCTTTGGTCCAGATAATAACCATTAGCCTATATGAGTTGTACGTCTACATGTTGCTGTCGATGCAGAGACTAAGATACAGCGTAGGGTAGAACAGCATCCATGCACCACTGCCCTGGTCAATGGCAGTGCACTATCTATATAATAGGGTGCCATGTCAGACACAGCCACTGTGGAAGCCTCAGTTAACTCAGCTGAGTATTAGGCTACTATCTAGTGGATGAGCAGTCCCAAGCTACGATGCAATATTAAAGCTGATATTGGTGGCTTATTCCCCTCTGAATCATTGAAGTTATGGAAATAAAGCATTTGGAGAAAGAAACACGTATGATAATCTGTTGTTTCTGACTACAGAGGGTGAATTTGTGTACATTTATAATGAGAAGGTAATTAATCATGAATCATGATTTGGCATGTTCTTGAAAAGCTTTCGACAGGTATGTAAACTAGTGAAAGGTCGCCACCTAGTGGAGTGTGCACGTCATCGCGTCACTTCAATTCACATAAATGCGTTCTGTCATGCAATTGGTTTAGGACGCGGTTACGGGATTCGCTCACGTGAGGTCAAAATAAAAACAACTAGCTCTATACAAAATACATGTCTTTGGGGGAATAATTGAATATAAACAAATAAAAAAAATCCGTAAATCGACAACATTTATGTTGGAAACAAACGTGAATGAGAGAGATCATACAGGAGAGAGACAGAGACCACTCAATCTGGTGTGCGTGTGTAGCCTATTTCAGCACCAGGAAGAGGGGACAGCTCCCTCCCCCACTCTCTCCCAGCTATCTCCTTCACGAGCTCTCAGGTTTACAGTGATAACATAATTAGCCAGATGGGACCCCTCGCTCGCGCATAGACTCAGATAGAACCAAAACGCACCAAGAGTGGGTACGCTACACCCAATGCTCCCATCTTTAAACGGGTCTCATACGGAGAATAGGATTTAGGATCTGCCCTGTCTTTCATTGACGAACTCGTCGTGCACAATCAAAGCAGTTAGCTACCGAGCCGTAGAAAACAAACAAGACGGTAGGTTTCCTTATCCATTATATGATTGCACAGGAAATGATCAGGGCGCTGTCAAGTGCCATATCCCTGTCTGTTCCTTGTGTGCTGCCTTTTCCCTCGTGACAGGCATTTGATCCATATGCTTAATGCATGGGTTATTTTAGGTGAAGGATCTTTACTGATGGTTGTCAGAATGTTGTCGTTTATTGTGCTTGTGTGTCAGACTCAGAATTCTGTAGAATATTGATTTTGATTTTTTTTTATGGACCATAAATTACTGCTTCCAACACGGGTCGAACCAATTTAGCCTATTTCTAAGACCCTCGGCGTTACCCTCCGGTGCCAGTGACTTAACTGGAAATGGCAGTGTTTAAAAAAAATAATAATATCTGACTAAATATAAAATGTTTATATTCTAAGCTGTTTTAGGTCATTTTGTCATGACAGTTTGGAGTGGCAGTAGATATTCACGTGCCAATTTTGTCAACAGTTGAAACGACAGTCAGTCAGTCAGTCAGCCAGCCAGCCAGTCAGTCAGTCAGTCAGTCAGTCAGTCAGCCAGCCAGCCAGCCAGCCAGTCAGTCAGTCAGTCAGCCAGCCAGCCAGCCAGCCAGTCAGTCAGTCAGTCAGCCAGCCAGCCAGCCAGCCAGTCAGTCAGTCAGTCAGCCAGCCAGCCAGCCAGCCAGTCAGTCAGTCAGTCAGCCAGCCAGCCAGCCAGCCAGCCAGCCAGTCAGTCAGTCAGCCAGCCAGCCAGCCAGCCAGTCAGTCAGTCAGCCAGCCAGCCAGCCAGCCAGCCAGTCAGTCAGTCAGTCAGCCAGCCAGCCAGCCAGCCAGTCAGCCAGCCAGCCAGCCAGTCAGCCAGTCAGTCAGTCAGTCAGTCAGTCAGTCAGTCAGTCAGTCAGTCAGTCAGTCAGTCAGTCAGTCAGCCAGTCAGTCACAGCATGCAACACAGTATCTATCCTAGTGCCTTGTGCTTTTGTATCCTACACGCGGATTGTTGAAATTCAATACTCTCGGCCTGCCACTTTGATTCGGGACAAAGGACAATGCACTGAGATGTCTATCTCTCTGACCATTAATCCCCATGATAGTAGCCTGGTCTAATCATATTGTTCTGCAGTATCACATTGTACGACAAGGGGGCGCTCTAGCGTCACTCTAGGTAACGTCAGGCCCTGCTGCATCGGCCGCATAAAGTCCACTTTATGTTTTATTCCCAAATGGCTCCCTATCCCCTATATAGAGCGTTACTTTTTACCAGAGGTCCTGGTCAAAAGTAATGCACTATATAGGAAAAGCTTCCATTTGGGACGAACCCGTTATGTTGGCAAGCCAAGACAAGGTTCTCTCCGTCTCAGGGTAATGAACTCGATATTTATTGATTGGGAGTTCCATTTTCTTGAGTGCTATAAGCTATAGGGTTTCACTCGTTAGCCCTTCAAATCCTTAAAACCCATCGCCGACGGACATCCCTGCCTGGCTTCCACCAGCGTGTCTTATCGTAATCAATTTGACATCTTGGCTTTTGATAGTTAAAAAACAAAATGCAAGTAGCATATTGAATCACTTTGCCCAACAACAAGATACCGGTTTTGTTGTACTGGCTGACTGAAGCACTCTAAACAATGATCGTTTTTAACATCAAAGTGATAATAAATCATTTTGATTTGTAATTGGGGTAGGCTCACTATGGAGAGTGAGTTATTGAAAATGTTCATCGATTTTATTGAGTTGACTGATTTAGGCTAGATGTGAAACACTTTAGGAAGCTTCAACTTCGTATCTTACATTTCGGGACCATGGATAGCGCATGTTGTGTCCCAGTACGCTGGTCATAGGCAAAACTTTACTGCAGTGCATGCTTGTGGTGTTAGACACTGGTATTGGTAATTATGCTGAAATATCAGACTCAAGGTGTTCTGCAATGAGATACTATTCTATCACAGACTAGAGAACAACATTACAATCAACATTAAAGATTATCAGCGTGAGTGTGCGGATTGGATAATGATGATGTCATATCTCTAAGAACATCTTTACTAAATTGTTTGTCGTCTGTCAGTCTGGCTATGGATTTAACCATTTCATCTGTCTGGCCCTTATACCCAACAACTGTCACTTTCCCACTAGTCCCGATATGAAAACGTAGCATCACTTTAATGAGAGAAAGAGAGAGAGTCAGACAGACACACTGAAAGAGCTTTTGTTAGAGAAAGATTTTGAGAGAGATTTTGTCTTCACATCCTTCAACCTTGAAGTGCAATTCTTCCCCAAAACACCCTTACTTCTTCCCCAAAACACCCTTACTTCTTCACAAAACACCCTTACTTATTCCCCAAAACACCCTTACTTATTCCCCAAAACACCCTTACCTTTTTCCTTAAAACACCCTTACTTCTTCCCCAAAAAACCCTTACTTCTTCCCCAAAACACCCTTACTTCT